GTCAAGTTATATCCAAAATGAAAGTAAGGGGAAGTAACTGTATGTTGGAAAAACTACAGTGGAATTCTCTAGTGTTTTTGGAGTGGGACAGGGTCACCCTTAACTCATTCACCCCTACATATCTATACTGGACTTGCCCAATCTTTGATTTGGTAAGGTTCAAATGTGACTAAATAAATGGGTTAATGACTGAAAATAGTAGAAGGAAGGGTGTTTAGGGAGATGTGAAAGGCCTCAAAATAATATAGTCAACATATTTATTAGGATTACAACCTTCACCCAGTAATACAAAATAAACAAGAATTCCGTAGAGTCACATCTATGTAACATCCTAGACCTATCTAGAAATATGAAGGTCAGATATGACAGACATAGCAGCTACAGTTTGTAGTCCAACGTGAGAAGTTGTGTACTTCCCATACAGTCACCAAACATACTGTCACTCTAAACCTGTCATTTCCCAAATACTGACAATGTTTTCACTAACCTCAGCACTGTTTTCACTGCACCCCAGGCAGCCTATAGCTGTATTTTACAGATGTGCATGTGCAGCTTTCGATTCAAAATGGGGAGAGCGAGGTTTGTTTTGCGTCCCTTGCTTAAATTGAAGACATCAAAATAGATTCTAGTTTCTCTACTGACCTGCACATTAATATTCGTATATACAACTACATTTATTTATCTAATTAACTGTGCTCAAACCATATAATTGTTCTGAAGGTGTAGTTTAGTGACATAAATGTTCAATGCTTTCAAAAATCTCATACACAAAGATTTTTTTCGTTATTTATATAGCTCATTATTACGCTGACGTTCAGGACTCAGACAATTGACTGATCTGCCTCGCCGAGGACCATCATGTCCGGTCTACTCTGACCGATCACAATGACCGCCTTTTAGTAGCTAGGTGGTGATTCCGACCTGTCATACATCAGTGGGCAAGCTTCCTTCTGACTCGGAATGAAATCACATTACCAAGCATCAATCAGCTGATGTAGTGTATCAATCGCCACATTTAATGTCGGTGTTTAACCAACCATGGCCGCAGACCCGAGGAGTCTGATGAAATGGTACACGAACAGCGATCACCAATCATGTCGCAACGTATGTTGATTAGAACAGATTTTTATGTTGTTGATGATCGCAGTCGGATCATTGATATACTGTAATTTTCTTCAGAGGTATTGACATCAAAGAAACCCAGGTCTATATTTATTACCACAAAAGGTTATTGACTCCAAGGTACTAGAAGCTCATTGTTTTATTTCAAATTGAACTCTCCACAAAACAGAATCAAACTACCCATGAACAAGATCGAAGATCTTATACGTAAACAATCCTTATGTTCAAATCTTGGCACTATCAGAATATCTATATAGACTTTTGTTATATTGTTCACAAGGATGATATGTATGATATGCTTAATACCTGAATATGGATCTGGACTTTGAAACATACGGTAAAAGTTTTTTTAAACAATTTCTTTTCAACAAAAATACAAACCTTAAAATAAATAGCGAATCAATACCCGGCCATGTGAACTGAACCATTGTGAAAAATATGTATCGCAAACAAATGCAATTTTGGTTAATCTGCTAAGACTGCAATTTTTTTTTTTAAATATTTGAGTTATTCAGACTTGACAAACACTATGTAGTACGGGGAATAAAATTTAACTTTTTTTATTTGTAATTCTAATTACTTATTATTTCAGATTAAAATCTGAAATCACATAAAAAACATCTATATCAACTATATGAGGATTTATTCGCTAACAAATCCTGACAGTGACAGTGCACTCCTTGATAAGAGAATGTAAGTATTTTAGACTTTTTTTTAAAAAACAAAGAAATGCGAAATGAATCAATAACATTAGTAAGGCACCAAAATTGTCATGACCAGCATCGCCATCGATCGTTACATTATATACGCAAACACGTCACAAGACACGTCGTACAAACTGCATTCCTCTTCAGATTGGTTTTATATCTATGCAAAAAAAAACAAGATAATGTAAATGGAAAAGCAAATAGACTTTTTCAATACAGGAAGGTACCGAGAGATAGAAAACCTCTTACCACCATTGCGTGACAACAAAGTACAAGGCTTCGTAATCATTCATCAGATACTGACAAATTGAAACGGGAAAAAAATGTAACAAAACATCTTTTCTAAAATGATGGATTTGCTATACTCATGATCGCATATCAAATTGAAGTGACCTATATAGCTTTTTCATTTCAGGTGAAAAGGGACGGGTATATATATAGCAATCACAGCTACAGATTAAATCAAACAGAAGTCACTAAATACCAGGCTATTTCTTACCATAACGTTTTGTTTTTCACAGAAATTATGATGATGAAACAATGTGACTTCAGACAATCATCGTAAAACATTGTTATGACACAAATTTTAATTGTTTGCCAAAGGTTTCAAATTTCGTCTGGTGCCAATATATTCTGACCTGACTGATTTGGTGCTCTGTAAACACAAGTTAAAGGCTCAAATTCAAACCATGGTGTGATCCTGATTCCTGAGCTGTGATCCAGAAGTAAACATTTGACATGAAAATATAGAATACTCAGTAAACAAGTTTAGGCTACGTATACATAGATACAAAATATCAAAAAATAAATATATAATACTGAAACATGCTTTCAGACTAAAACTAGAACTGTCATCTGGAGGATAACTACCCCCCTCGCATAAAGGACCATAACTCCTTTAAAAGTGTTGAAATATAAATTTAAAATGCCATTGCACAACTACATAATATACTGATCATTCAAATAAAGTTTCAATAAAATCTGCTTGTTAGTTAAGATGGAGATTTCCGGACAAGTTATTTTGCATAAAGGGCTGTAACTCCCTTAGAAAGTGAAGTTTCAATAAAATCTGCCTATAAGTTACAGACAGGGTGATTCCAGTTTACCCCCTTCCCCCCTAACTTTGTTAGAAATTGAGCTCGGAAGCACATGCAGAACCTGAGTTTATAAGCATGAAAATGGTTTTATGGCTGTAATAACTGAAAATTTGTCTTATAATTCAAACGTATTGACTGCAGATATAACTGTTACTAATTTTCCATTAGCAGATTTTAACCTCACTGAAGGACTTGATGACAGTTCTTATATCAAGGTTAAGGCAAAGCATCTACATGGTAATTCAAAACAGAATGCCGAAACGAGGCAAAACTTCACAATTATACCAGCACCAAAACCCTTAAATCAACGAGCAACATAATTACACTAAGTCATCACCGTAGCAAGGTCTGGGTGGTTTGTGGGCGACTTGTTTGGCATTTTGTCTGAAGTCATTAGCGTCTATTGATGTGGGGAGTGTACCAGTGAATTCTGCCAAAGATGGAGCCACTTGCAAGGTGGTGTATTGAATTTAGAAGTTCTGTACGGTAAAAGGTCAGAATTATAACAATTCAGAACACATGTACCGTAGGTAAATCAACTATCACCTGGGCCTTAGTTTTGACTATGAACGGAACACATTTGTTATAATTAATGCATATGTAAATAGATAAATATACAACATTTGTTATAGCGCCCTATCTAGCTAACATAAGCCACTCTAAAGCGCTTTACAGTACATAGATATACAATTTTATACAGTCAATACAATTAGCATATATATATTAATCAATACAATATTGAGGAATTCGCAGGAGCTGCCTTATCAGGCGCTAACTACAAGTCCTATGCCACCTGGCTAATATCTCCCTATGTGTGTATGCCTCTGTGTGTGCTAAAGATGTATTGTGTTCTGTTTGTAGTGGGACCGTGCTTCCAACGGTATCATTTATAGTGCCACCTCACTTGAATGCTACAGCACAGATACCGCAACACCCACCCCAGACCATTTTATACTCCACCTTGGTTGTTGGAGTTGTGTGGGCAGGAGAAAAACACTTTCTCTAATATTCCATGCGTACAGCGACTTCCGGGATCGAACCCCTGCCGCCTGCTTGGAAGACTGAAGTGTTAACCACTCGACCAATCCGCCCATCAGACATATGTGCAGATTATAATGAAGAAATGCATTGTCAACAAAAAAAAATTTGTAAAATTAATATAACAACGTCTGATTTGGTATGACTTTCATTTTTTTAATTAACTAAATTATCAGCAGGAAATGCCATTATAACTGATAAAACAAAATTTCTTTGGCTTAAACTACCAGGTAGCAAGGATTTTACAGGGAAAATATTCCATTATTTTATGCAATGACTTGACGGCATTTAAAATGTACCAGTAGATGACATCCCTTTCCTCCAGAAAATCATTTAACAACAAAGACGTTCTGTATGCCTCGTGAAAGGGGTACATCTACCTTGCATTAATTAATTGTGTAAATGTTGCGACACAGCATATTGACATTGTGTCTTGTTTATATTTAAAACAATGTCCCCTCTGGATGCCTGTCATTAATATTGCTGACCCGGGCCATGACCTGTCCTTTCTCTCATTTATTGGACAGTTTTCGGCTAACTTGTACATATCTACCGTATTCCTTCCTTGGGTATGCATTGACATAGAGAGGCTCTTTTATACTTTTTGTTGTCTGACCAAGCTAGACTTCAAATAACTGGTCTACGAACAATGCTATATGTGTCCAGGGTTCGCCCTTATAATTGATTGTAGTACTAGTCTACAAACAAATTTTATTGGTAGAAGAATTTAGACAAAACCTGTTTTGTAAGAAATCGTTTTCACCATACATATATATAGTCGCAAAAGAAAATCAATCCCGCAACAAAATATTTTGGTATAGCAACACTTGTTTCGCCTATTTTGAATAAATTTGAAAAGAAAAAGCTGCATTCATGATAGACTCTTCCAGACAGACTAGAACAAATATAGTGGTGACGGTGTCTGTAACACTCATTAAAAGGGCAGTGATTACCTGTCAAAGGAAGTCTTTGGGGCCGTGAGTTAAATTCCATTAATTGATGCTTAATTAAAATACAAATAGAAAATGGCACCTACCGATGGCAGCCTTTCCCCAAATTTCTACCACAAAGTCTGAAGAGGTGGAGACATTGGGGCGTCCAGCACCAGGTTCCTTGTAACTCTTGAAGTTTGTTTCCGACTCCCATGGGATGTGCGGTGGTTGTTTCGCAGCCCCTACGTCTTCTTTCTCAAACTCTTCCCCCCAAGGATTCCAATCCGTATCGTCGTCGGTGAATGCTAAAATGGAAATGAAAATAAACACGTACAACTGATGTTTCTAGAAATGAAATATTAGTCAGAATTGTGTCAATATTTCACCGAAGGCATTTTTTTTATTTCCAATGTATTTATCATTTCATAAAAGTGCAAATTCCTTGAAACCAGCATGTGAACAGGCCCGTGTTTGAGCTAGTAAAAATTTGCATTGTCCCACCATCATCCCATCTGCAATACATCAAGCTTACTTATAACTATTTCATTGGTTGAAGGACCTAAAGCTTAATTGTCCTGCCAAAAGTGACAACAATTTATACAGTCACCTTCATAACTATTCTTGTTATGCTGACATATATAACTCATAATACACAGTACATCTGTACATGTACTGATGTTAACAAAAAAAGTTTCATCTGGACTTGCATTGATTTTACCCTAATTAGTATAGGTAATCCAAAAATGTTCTCTTTAACTGGCTGCAATTAGTACCCAATAACAGTTTCATCTTTATCAGGCACTGTCAGTTTTGTAGTACCAGACATTCACTAACAGTTTCGCCTTCAGCTGACAGTTCCCAACAAGAAGCCAAATGGGCCTGCATCGATCACCTGATAATAATCTCAAACTTCTAACCTTCAAAGTGGACTTATATGAAGCTACAGGCCAAATATCAGAATCTATTACTCTAGATCTACATACATGTGTGTCATTCAAAAGAACGTTTAAAACATTTAAACAACTTTGACCCCTGTGACCTTGAAAGTCTAACAAGGTCATTTAATTGAACAAACTTTATAGCGCCCTTCATCCCAGCATGCAACTTGCCAAATATCACATGTACAACCCTAGATCATTTGTTTATTGAGATTAAGGCATTTTAAGGTTTATGCACATTCATTTGAACAAAGTAGCTAGGTAGCCCTTCATCCCAGCATGTTACTGGCCAAATTGCATTACAAAGCCTGTGCTTTATGAAGTTTGCATTCTAGTACTTGTAGTTATAATGGGCCTTGCAGAGTATGAAAAACTTGACAAAGGAAGTTACTCTAAGCAAGAAAAACTATTTTTGGGTTGTTTCCTCTTCTAACAGAAGGGAGAAATAAATTTTCCAAGTGAAAAAACTTGGGAGTTGAACTCTTCTTTGTGATTAAAACTGATGCAGTGGTACCCGTCACCTTAAGTAGTTATAAAAAAATATCTTGATATACATGTAGAATGTACCATGACTGCATCAGAATCCAATTTTCATCCCAGACATTGGTTTCGCTAGATTTTACATCAGTACAAACACTCCTGCCAGTGCAAGAAGTTCTTCCAATGAAATATTACACGAAATCATGCAATTTCATCAGACTACAATTCCCTCTCTGTGGAATCAACACTTCATAAAACTAAATGTCTACAACTTAATTTATGTTCACCACCCTTTGTCCAATATAAAAGCTTCGACCTTTCGTCTGTTCAATATATATATGTATATATCTCATGATGTAAGTCTGAAGGGACCTGCTAAGATAATGCTTCTATGCTACATATCTTACACAGATATAAAAAGAAAACATTTATCTCTCACTCTCAGCTGATGATGTGACAATTTAGTGAATAAGAAGGTATTCACTTTAGATCACAATAGGGACTCTCTTAAGATGTCATCTTTTTGTCTCTTTTGATGTCATGATTGATTTTATTTTTCAAGCCTTTTTGACTTTATTTTTCAAGCCTTTTTTGACATTTGCATTACAATAACATGAAATATATACGTGTGTGTATATATTTCATGTTATTGTAATGCACACAAACAATATTATAACTACTCATGTTTCAGCAAATCGCTCATCATCTTCACCATTGTCAACATCCTCATTATCATCATCAAAAAAACATAAAAATGTTATCATCACCATCATCATCATCTCCATTTTGCCTCTTATCAGAGGTCACCCAGTGTCTATAATGATAAATCATCTATTGTCGTAATAGACTACACTTTGTGTTAAGAGATTGCCTTTTGTCTTAATAAATCACCCATTGTATTAAAGAGATCACCAAGAACATATGGTCTTAAAGCATTTTCATTTGAGAACCCTTTATCTTGACTCTTGAGAGATCAATCTTTGTCTTGAGAGCTCAAGGTCAACTGTTATCTTTGAAGATCACCCTTTTTCTGAGGTCATATCATTTGTCGTGAGATATGTGTGATCAGTTTTGTCTTTAGAAGAAACTCTTCTGTCTCGAGATATAAATCTTTGACTTACTTGAGAAGTTGCATTTTGTCTTGAGAAGTCGTCTTTTGTATTGATGCATGCAAGCTTAGACTCTTTGTCTTGAGAGATCATCATATCATCCATTGTCGAAAGTGATTATCTTTTGTCTTACAATTTCACACTTTGTCGTAAGAAATCACCATTGTCTCATGAAGAGATCATGCTTTGTTTTAAGAGATCATCTTTTGTCTTATTATTCTTATTATTAAAAGCTTAATGGCCCATCAACACAGGATAGATCATTAGGGTCAACAAATGGTTGATCTTTAACTTATAATATCATCTTTTGTCTAAAGAGATCATTATATAATTATTTGTCATACGTGATACTCTTTGTCATGATGAATTGCTGTTTATTTGGTGAATTTCTTGCCCAGGAAATTTCTGCCCTTAGACGGTAGAATCCATTTTCACCCAATGTTAGATTTGACCTTCACATTTTATACCTATGTATATTGCTGTTTACAAATAACTCTGGATAGCTCCAGAAATATTTTTACAAGATTTTGTGACAAGGTTATTAATTAGTAAGAACTGCAGTCTGAATAGTCCTAATAATATTCCTAAATCTTTGGAACAGTACATAAATATTTAAACATTTTCTGTTTGCGTTTAATCTTAAATAAGGTAATCATTTATCCATATTTTTAAGTTAGGCTTTGGAAAATTTTGAATTAATTTGGTCCTATTTGTTATATATAACCTTATTTTCAACAATCATGAAACTTAAGTTTTTTCAACTTATATTAATCACTGAAGTTGACCCAGATGAATTTAGCGCATAGACGTCTTGATGAGTCAGAGGAAACCAGAATACCCAGAGAAAACCCATGTGTATGGTCGGGCAGGTGACACCGAATTGCTTTTTCATGTCCATTCAAGATAAAACTTTGACTGTCTTGGTGAATTAGGTGAGTGCGCATACACCTGACCAAGTATAATACTTTAGGGGTGTTGTGTCTGGGGAAGCTAGCTATAGGTATCCTTTACCTCCCTCAGCCTCTCAGGGTCCATGTAAGGAGGAATGAAACTTCGGCCATCTTAGTGAAATAGGCAAGTGCACTATCCACCTAACCAAGTAGAATACTTAGGTACATTAAGTTAGCCCCTATGAAGTGACCCTGCATGACTGCCTAATGTCCCCGACAGGGGTATGCCTGGAGCTCCACAATCGGTGTTAGGTAGCTATAGGTTTCAACCCTGTCTAGACAACACAGTGATGAATTGAGTGTAATATATAGATGCCAGGGTCAAAACATTAATGCTGTGTCCTGACATCACTGCACCATCAGTGAGAGCTACATACTGTTGACAGGGAGGGGCAAATGATGTAATGGTAAATAGACTCCTAGTGATGGGTATCCATTTACTGAGAATCGCCTGGGGAGTATTTAGCTTTGAAGGGTTGAAATGATAGCCTAATCATTATCTGTTAAACATACAATGGAATTGTTTTCCATTAATCATGAAAGACTTTATATATATTTATGTCTATCCTTGTAATATGAGTGTTTTTTTGCAAGTGATAATTTCTAACCTTCCCTGTGACATGTTTATAATGACTTTCAGTTTTATCAGATTCCTATAATGCACCACTCCCTACTTCCCTCTCCCCCTCCCCTCTTACCACCACCCATCAACCCCCTTTACAATGATGCCATAAGTTCCTCAAAATGCACAACCTGTTTGAAATGTCTCTAATTATTTGTCAAAGGCGTTCTGAACAAAATTGGGAATTTCGTGTCGTTGTTTCATTTCTTTTCTTTAGATTTTGTCTGCTCACAGTGTTGTCCTAGAAACAATTGACTTAAGGGTGAAAGGACTCTTACTCATCATAAAAGAAGATCTTCTATACAGAAAAACTTATGTTTATTGTATATAAACGAGAGGTCCAGTCCTGCACAAAACTTTTCTTGGTACTGTTTGCATGGAAAAATGTGACAATGTTTATCCTTGATTAGATTTTGTATAAAAGGTCATCAAAATTTAAAATAGCAAATTGTTTCAATTTCATTTTGCTACATCTATCTTTCTTTTCATATCAGAAAGTCAACTGATTGACACAAGCCTGATGTAGCCTAGGTGACAATAAATGACACACATATGCTCATGATCTGTTATAGCAAACAAGAAACCTAAAGCTGGGTTTTTTCAAATTTACTTAGGTGTATTCAAATATACCTTGATCAATTGAAAAATAAATTTCTTTAATTTATTTTTCCCATGAATTTGATCTATTCTGAGGTTGTCAACATTGAAGTTTCATTAAATGCTTGTTAAATGCTTGTAAAATGCTTGTTAAAACCTGTGTGTAAATATCTCTCAATCGCTTTTCAAATGCAAACACTTGTCGGTATAAAAAGTATTACAAGTAGGTGCTAGCTATGTCAACAGCTAAAATGGCTCTGCAAAGATGAACTGAATCCTTTTTGAACTAAATGGGCCGGTGTGCAAGAATCAGAGGAATTAAAATATACTAGTACACACATGTAATTGTAAAAGAGACTCGATCACATAAAAATATTTTTCGAAACACTGACCCGAGAATTGGGCCCTAGACTAGGACGAACTTACAGTGATGTATTAAGATGGATTAGCTAAACAATTAAGTACACTTTTATAGTTTGAGAGAGTCAATGAACTTAGACTTTTGTGTTCACATAATTCAGGTGATACCAGAAAGTTAAACATAGAACAGAAATGATTTAAGGTTTGAGAGTCTCATTGCAGCGGCCTCACAGTGTTGTACATGTATCT